AGGATCCGTGGCGCGGGTGCCCGCCGGCCATCCCTCCTCCACCACGGCTGCGTGTCCTCCTGCCGTGACGCTGACCCCGATGGGCTGCAGCAAACGGCTCCGGGAAGGGGTTTGGGACCCCTCGATGCCAGCGCCAGCCTGCGGTCCTCATCGGACAGCCGGAGCCCCGGGGAGCTGGGTAACCAGGGGGGTCCATGCCGGGGGTTTGGCATCGCGCTTTGTGCCACCGTGTGAAACAGGGAAATATTAATGATGGTTTTTTGGTGGCAGAGGGGAATTGAGCTCCCATGGATGTGGTTAATTCTCTGCTTCTCCCCTTTTTGCAGAGTCTGCCCAGCATCCTTCCTTCACGTTCGAAACAGAGACCTCCTCTGACTGGGAGCCCCAGGATTTCGATTTCGTTGCAGCCCACGGGTCCCCACACTCCCCCAGGACCGTTTGCAAGGCTGTGGTGAAGGGGCTGCGGAGTAACGAGCCCGTGCAGTGGGAAGTCACCTTCGATATCCGTCCTCTCTTCCAAGAGCGGGAGAACCAGGCGGACGACGATGCAGACCTCTGGAGTGAGACCTTCCACCACCTGGCAGCCAAGTCGGTCATCCGGGACTTCGAGCAGCTCGCTGAGAAGGAGTGCGAAATCGAGCACGGTAATGTGCAGCTCCCGACCAGCCTGGAAGACCCTGCCCTGCCTCGGGGAGGGCTTCCCATAGAATCACAGAACAGTTTGGGTTGGAAGGGACCTTAACTCCCTTGCCATGGACAGGGACACCTCCCACTAGCCCAGGTTGCCCGAAGCCTCATCCAGCCTGGCCTTGAACCCCTCCAGGGATGGGGCATCCACAGCTTCTCTGGGCACCCTGGGCCACTGCCTCACCACCCGCACAGGAAAACATTTCTTCTTTATATTTAGTCTACATCTGCCCTCTTCCAGTTGAAATCCATTACCCCTCATCCTCTTCCTACATGCCCTGGTAAAAATTAGAGCAGAAGAAGCGGTAGGCAGAGTTTGGAGGGACTTGGTCCCTACTGGGCATGGAGGTGGGTCTGGGGGCTGGGTCCAAGGGGTGGATGGACCCCACGGGGCACGTGCGCTCTAACCATGGGGTCTCTTCCACGGCAGGGTCCGGGCGGCGGTACCAGCTCAACGCCGTGCACACCAGCACCGCCCTCACCAAGCCCACGGCTTCCCTGCCGGTGGACCTGAGCACCAGCGCCTACCTGCCTGCTGTCGTCGAGTACACCCACACGGGTAATGGGGAGCTGGTGGGGGGGTGAGACCTCTTGGGAGGGAGAAATGTTGCCCAGCGCAAACCGTAGGAAGCCATGGCTCTCTGGGCAACCTGATCTAGTGGAAGATGTCCCTACTTACTGCAGGGGAGATGACCTCCATGGTCCCTTCCAACTCAAACTGTTCTAGGATTCTATGGCTCAATCCAGCACTAGACCTTCATACCCAAGCCCATGGTTGAGCCTAA